AAAAAAAATTAAAATCTTTGTCCTATCAATTCATGATTGAAAACTTGCTTAAAAACAATGGGAGTAAATAGTCAGTTAGAGCAATGCTGAAAAAATCTAGACTTACAATGAGAGTTACAAAAGTGAAGAGTCAAAAGTGAAACACTAGCGCAAAAAATCGTACCGTAAATGAAAAAGGATGAGTACAACTGTTGAGGCACTTACTTTTCGCAATTGCTAAGCCGAACACTCGGTCGTTTACCTTCCTCTTTTAATTCGATTAGTACCTAAAGATAAATGGCACACTGTGCATATTTGACCAATCAGCATAGAGGACCTACCGTATAAGTGTCACATGGAGGTCGATCCGTTGGTTGCAAACGAGTCCGCATTGATCCACTACGTGGACTGTTCTCCGTTTGCGTTTCACCGGAAACGGTCTCCTGAAAGCTTATAGGTACAAATATGACTTCTAATAGACGATGGCTAATATGGTACTCACATCGTTAGCAGGTATAGGACTTAATGGAGGACTGGCGTTTTTCTTCTTCGAAGCGTAGAGTGAGGAAGAAAGAGAGGTGTCATCAATGTTGACGACCTGTGCCTATAAATAGTAAGATGGCATGAAATAAGAGGTAAAATAAACAGTAGGTTTACCTCAGAGCTATCCTCTGAAGATGAATGCGATTTAGTAGCGCACGATTTCAGCCATGATAATCGACTTCTTAATCGACCACTGTAAGAGGAAAATAGAATTTGTGAACATAAAAATCCATATAATCAGTATTCTGGTTCAAAGACAGATTTCAGGCAGAAGCAGAAATACTTTGCAGAAATATGAGGCCTCCTCACTATGACTATGACCAATTATTCTACTTTGTATGCAAAAGTGACTTTAAGGTGGGATTGTCAACAAAAAAAAAGAAGTAAAATGGTACAAACGAACTATTGAAGCATATAGTTAAACCCTATCATGATTGTAGTGTAATTGCACACCATACATGATATCCAGATAATTAACGTAGGTCTTTACCTTTTGGTGTCGTTAGCCCATGTGGGTTTCTTCGTGGAATTCCTTAGGCTTGGCTTCACAATCGAATTTGTTGATGTGTCGCGTTGAATTAGTGACCGTCGTGGGAACTAAAGAGAACTCATTACACCCTTATCGTGGAGAAATGAATAGATTTTGCAAAAGAATAATAGTTTTGAACAAAAATTGAGAGGGGCATAACACAAGGTAACATGCAAACTAGGGAAAATATACATATCCGTTTGTTCAGGTTTTCACTACGATATTTTACCTTCTTTCTGGATTTCACAGAATTGCGTAAACTACGTGTACGAACGGAGTCTGTTGAGTGACTTGAGCGCTAAATAACCCCAAAAACTGTCTACGATGGGCTAGGAGATTTGCCCAAAATTTCCGAGAAATCCTAACCTGAGAGGCTTGCAGTCTTCCAAATTCTTTCCGTCGTTTACGGGTTTCCCAATAAACTCGAGAGTAAAGTATGATCATAATCGTCACGGGGAGGTAGAATGCAGCAACCGCTGTGCCAACTGTTACGTATGGATTTGTTTGTAGGAACTGTACAACGCATTCATCCGGTTTCACAGTGTATTTCCCTTAAAAGAACACATATTTTCACAAAGACGCATTCGTCACGGGACCAATATTCTGTAAGCGTATGTTGTAACTCAAGCATTCCTATGTAACGCATAAGTTGCTATGAATTGAAAGTTAATGACTAATTTATCTCTCATTCATTTATTCACTTACTCATTTATACATTCCTTCACCAATCATTCACTTATTCATCTATCCATTTATTTTTTCATTTATTCATTTGTCCTCTTGTTTACTGTTCAACCGCTCATTTCTTTATTCATTCATCCGTCCATTCATTCATTCATTAATTCGTTCATTCATTCGTCATTCGTTCATGCATTT